GAGAGAGAGGGAGACACAGAATCGGAAACAGGCTCCAGGCTCTGAGCGGTCAGCCCAGAGCCCGACGCGGGGCTCGAACTCCCGGACCGCGAGATCGTGACCTGGCTGAAGTCGGATGCTTAACCGACTGCGCCACCCAGGCGCCCCACCACGTCCATCCTTAAGTCAGGAAATGAATCTGTGGCAAACAGGACAAGGGTGTGTGGGGGGAGTTGGGGGGGGAGCCTCAAGCCTTCACAGACGTCAGAGCTGAGACCGGGGGGGAGGAGCCAGCTGTTCTAGGACCTCCAACCCCCCTCCCCGCCACCGGCGTGGGCGTCACCCGAGTCCACCTACCACAGATTCTCATGTAATAGACCTGGAATGGAGTCTGGCTGACAAAAACTCCCCTAGCTGGTTGCACAGGGCAGGCTGCGGCCTCGAGGACCTAGAGGCAAGTCAGACCACCACTCTCCTTCTGCAGGAGAGGAGACTGAGCTTCAGAGAAGCTGAGCCACTTGCCCAAGGTCACGGTGTAAGTGACTTCGCTGAAGACGGATGATGCGAAGTCCCATCTCCATCCACCTGTTCTCACGTGGGGAGAAAAGTCTTCTCGTTTCTGAGGTGAGAACCAGCTGACTCTTCTCTCCCTACCAGTTTTCAGGGTCATCTATCCGGTGGGGCTCTGTCCACACACTGCTGAAATGAGCCTGGAAGGTTCCTATCCTGACAAACAGGCTCCTGGGAGGCCTGATGGCTCCAGGCTACTAACACTCCACAGGGGACCTGTACCTGTGTTTGCCCTGTGGTAGCGTGCAGGCCATGAACCTCCTCTCGTTGTTTCTGTACTCCCAAGGAGGGAGCTTGTCATGTCGGATTGGGGCACAGCGGGTGTGAAATACGGTGCCCACAGAGGGGCGTCAGCTAGACTAAAAAATGAATCAGTAACAGAAAAACATTGCGGGGCATCTGCAGTTTACTGAGTGTCCGCCCTGTCAGGCACTGAGTCTGCAGCAACCGGACATCTCATGAAAACCCTCCGGCCCACCCGGCGGACGTGGAAATGAACCAGCGCAGGCTCCGCTGGGAGGGGTGGTGCGTGTGACGAGGCGGGGAGGCTGGAGCTAGAAGGCCGGGCCTCGGCTGCACTTGATTTGCTGAATGTGCTGACCCAGAGCTGGGCCGGAGCAGGCTGGGGTGACTCCCTAGGTGTCAGGGAATGAGGCAGACCTTCTAAGAGTGGCGGGCCCCATTTTCATCGTTTTGCAGGCTGACCCTCCCATCTTAGAAAAGCGCAGGATGAGGTGACTTGGCACACTGCCAGAGGACAGCTGGGGTGTCTCCTGCCCACTCGGAGCTACCCCAGCAACTGGGAAGGAAAGGAGACCAACTGGAAAGGCTGGGATGCCAGCCGGTCGAGGCCTTGGTTTTCTCATGTCTACACAGGCGTCGTGGCAGGGATCGGATGCGATCGCGGGCGTCAGGTTCCTGGGATGGCGCTCAGCACGTTGCAAGGGCTCCGTGGACGTTCCATGCTGCCTGTGGTGCTGGTTTTGTGATGAGTCTGGAAACGGCTTCTCCTACCCGTACTCTCTTGTTGAAAAAGCACACGAAACCCTCGAAGCAAACACAAATGTAGCAGATGAAAGCATGCAGCATAACATGGTCCCCAGGCCAGCTTCTCCTCCGCACGAATGAGTTTGTCACATCTTTGTCCTGCGCAGTCTCCACTGGAGCCTTTACAGAAGGGCCCCGGGCACCTAGAGGGAAAGCGCTTACTCTGCTTTAATTAGGATTAATAAGCCCTGTGCTCTGCGTAGGTTGTGACAGAAGTGTCCAGTTCATTCGTCATCATTCATTCATCCACTCATTCATTCATTCATCCATCTATCCACTCATCCATTCATTCATCCACTCACTCATTCATCCATTCACCCATCCATCCATCCATCCACTCATCCACTCATCCAGTCATTCATTCATCCACTCACTCATTCATTCATTCATCCATTCATCCACTCATTCATCCATTCATTCATCCATCCACTCATTCATTCATTCATACACTCATCCATTCATTCATCCACTCATCCATTCA